TTTCCAACGACTCCAGAACTCTTAGTCTTTCATAACAAAGTCATTAAAACACGTGTCCTTGTCACAAAAAAAACAATCATTACCTCAACTAGGCACTGCTGGCAGCCGCCGACAAGCTTCTGGTTGTATCTTTGACGAATCCTGTGGACCAGTTCAACTCAATTTGTTGACTTTTTGACACAGACTTGTTTCTTCATCACTGTCAACAGGTTCCTGATGGTTCCTGATCTAAATCCTTAATTCTAGCCTGATTCAAACATTTCATTACCTTTTTTTGATGTGTGTTTGGGGTCATTGTGTTGTTGGAACACCCAGCTGCATCCAAAACCAAACCCTCTGGCTGATGATTTTAGGTTATCCTGAAGAATGTGGAGTTTATCCTCCTTCTTCTGTTATTACATTTAAGCTCCAGTTCTACTGGCAGCAGAACAGCCCCACAGCATAATACTGCCACCTCCATGCTTGGCAGTCATTAACCACTAACTCAAGCTAACTATAGTTTCTGATTAAGGCCATCATCAAGAAAACAAACTAATTTCATTAATAAGTGTCATAAACTAGGTCACACAGCAACAATGAATAAGGGAGGTTCACACAAGAAAACTATTTACCAAATTATTTATTAAGAACTTGTACCAGAACTTAAACTAACAACAGTATGTGTAAGTCAGTAAAATTAGCAGTGTTGGTGTGTTGTGTCATTAACTTTGTCTCTTCTCTCTCTCTAGTTTGTGCTTTGTCCTCTCTGGAGGTTTCTCACATATACAGTCTGATCTCATGTTTACTGCACTGAACATTTCCTACATGATCTTTAATTCAAGTGACAAATCCTTTTACTTGTACTTTCCTCGAGCATTTCCACTTTCTGCTTCTTTATACTTATACTCTGGTCTATTCAGATGCAAACATTTAACTTGATAACTTCAACAAAATAGTCAACAAATAGCTTAGGATGTAATGTTATCACTTAATATAAAACTGTATTAATCCCTAAGAGGACATGCCTAATATTCAGCAGATAAACTACATAGATTTACCTTTACCAGCTTCAACACCAACATTATCACAAATCAGCATTACTCTGAAACATAGCATTTTTCATGACTTTTGGTATTTTAGGTATATTTTAATGCTAATATTTTTGTACTTTTACTTAAGGTACATGGATATCTACCTTGTGGTACTTTTTAAGTACAAGATTTAAGTACTTCTTCCACATCTGGTGCATTAGAACTTTCCACAGCGTCTAAACCTGTGTGTGACATAACTGTTCATTCTACAGGTACACTGCATGTTATTGTTAAAAGGTAGATTTTCTGACACTTTTCTGCCAATAAAAAAAGGCTTCCTCACAAACTGATGTGGGTTCACTGTTTACTGCATGTCAGGCTGAGCTTTGACGCAAATACACCAGAACGCTGAGCATCAGGCACACATGGATGACACACAGTCTGAAGTCATCAGACTGTGTGTCACATCCATGATGCGAAGTGTTGCAGGGAAAATTTTACACAACACGCTTTAGGTGCCAGTTTATTCTGAAGCTGGATTCACTGCAGTCAAACAAACCTCAAGACGTTGCCACCGCTGTAAATGAATCTCAGAAACCTGTGAGCGCCGACAGTGCTGGGGCGTTTGAATGCAACCAGTCGAGTCGAGGTGTGGTGTTTTTATAGCGTAACACAAAAGGTTGTGACATCCCCACTATCGGCCGAATGGCTGCCGCAGTGCAGCGTGGAGTTTACATCCATCTAATTCAATATTCACAGTGAACAGTGAGCGTGAGCCGAGTCGGAAAATCACACTCATGCTTCATGATGCACAACACTTTAACCATTTATGTAAAACAAACAACAACAACATCCTCTCTTGTGTTGGAAAAATATGCCGTGACAATTGAAAT